TCCTCCTCTCCCTACGTGCCCTCCTCCCTCCCTCCCTCCCCTCACCCCCCGCCCCTCCCCCACGCCCTCCCATCCCCTCCCATCCCCGTCCCCATCCCCTCCCCTCCGCCCGCCTCCCTTCCCCCCTCTCCCCACCTCACCCCCTAACCCCATCCAGCTCGCCCGCCACCCCGCCGTCCCGCCCCCCTCCCTCCCTACTCCCTCCTGTTCCTCCTCCTCCTCCTCCTCCTCCTGCTCCTGCTCCTGCTCCTGCTCCTGTTCCTGATCCAGCTCCTCCTCCTGTTCCTCCTCCTCCTCCTCGTCCTCTTCCTCCTGCTCCTCGCCCCCTTCTTACTATGAATCTTAGTATGATCATGCGCCGTCGTATTAGTATTCGCCGTAGTATTCTTAGTAGTACTTCTGCCATTATGATTTCTAGTGTTAGTACCATTAGTAGTGTCAATCATATTAGTATGTGTAGTAGTAGTTGTTGTTCTAGTAGTAGCATTCGTCTCCTGATGCGTAGTAGTAGTAATAATAGTATCAGTCGTCTTATGAGTAGTCTTATTGGGTCGTGGTATTAGCATGATTGTTCGGTGAACCCTTCCTCGTAGTATGATGCTTCCTAAATTAGTAGTACAAATAGTACTAACATTATTAATGGTCGCATCAGTATTAGTACGCGTCTACTTCTGTGTCTTCGTGTTACGCGTGCTCGTATTGTCAGCCGTGTTGTTAATAGTTGTAGTGGCGTTATTAGTACCATGGTTCGATGTCGGATGCTTACTAGAATGAGCATCCACCTTCGGATTATTATTACTGTTCGCAGTAGTCGTCGCGTGCGTCTTCTTAACATTGGTATGATGCGTCTTATCAATACTAGTATGATTAGTATGATCTTCCTTAATACTAGTAATGCGATTATTATTACTAGTATTCTTCATATTTCATAGTATTACTACTAGTAAAAGTATAAGTATTCTTATTCCTCGTATTAGGATAAGGCCTCCTCCTCCTCTTCCTGCTCCTCCTCCTCCTCCTCCTCCTCCTCCTCCTCGTCCTACTCCTCCTCCTCCTCCTCCTGCTCCTCCTCCAACTCCTCCTCCTCCCTCCTCCTTCCTCCTCCTCCTCCTCCTCCCTCCTCCTCCTCCTCCTCCTCCTCCACCTCCTCCACCTTCTTTTTCCCCTCCACCATCATCTATACTCCCTCCTCCAGCTCTCGCAAATCCTCCTCCTCCTCATCCTCATCATCAGCATCATCAATCATCATCATCAGCATCAGCATCATCATCATCATCATCTCATCATCATCATCATCATCATCATCATCATCACATCATCATCACATCACATCATCATCATCATCATCAGCATCACCATCATCATCATCATCATCATCATCATCATCATCATCATCATCATCATCATCATCATCATCATCATCAGCATCATCATCATCATCATCATCATCATCATCATCATCATCATCATCATCATCATCATCATCATCTTCATCATCATCATCATCATCATCATCATCATCATCATCATCATCATCACCCTCATCAGCATCATCCGCATCAGCATCATCATCATCAGCAACATGATCATCATCAGCATCATCACCATCGTCATCATCATCAGCATCATCAACATCAGCATCATCAGCAGCATCAGCATCACCATCATCATCATCATCACCACCAGCAGCAGCAACATCATAATCAGCAGCATCATCATCATCAGCATCATCAGGAGCATTATCATCATCAGCATCAGTATCAGCAACAGCATCATCATGAGTATCATCATCATCATCAGCAGCATGAATGATCAGCAGCAGCATCCTCAGCAACCTCATCATCATCGGCATCATCATCAGCAGCATCAGCATCAGCATCATCAGCATCATCGTCATCATCGGCATCATCATCGACATCATATCAGCATCAGCAGCGTCAGCTTCAGCAGCAGCATCAGAATACTCATCAGCATCATCATTAGCATCATCATCATCGACATCACCATCACCATAATACTCATCCTCATCATCATCATCAACAACAACCTCATCATCATAAACAGAAAAAAACGCATCATCACCACCACCACCACCAGCATCATCATCATCATCTTCACCATCATTATCATCATCGTCATCGTCATTGTCATCGTCATCGTCATCATCAGCATCAGCATCAGCATCAGCATCATCATCATCATCATCATCATCATCGTCATCATCATCATCATCATCATCAGCAGCATCAGCATCAGCATCAGCATAAGCATCAGCATCATCATCGTCATCATCTTCGTCATTATCATTAGAATCAGCATCAACAGAATCATCTCTCCACCTGATCCTCCTCATCAGCAGCATCGTCGTCGTCATTACCACCACCACCATCATCATCATCATCATCATCATGACCCTCCTCACCCTCCTCACCCTCATCCTCCTCCTCCTCCTCGTCTTCCTCCTCCTGCTCCGCCTCATTCTCCGCCTCAACCTGATCGG